AATAAAGGGGATGATTATCCTAATCCTATAATGATTAGGATAACTACAACATATGGATAAACACAAGGGAGGATAATGACTAGTCTTGGCCGCCTGGTATGGATAGAGACAAGGTGCTTGTCGCCTGGTCTTGGGACTGAAGTAGACTGATGTGGTCTGGTCCATTTTCGGATATGTCCCAACCACCATTTCTCAACAATTTTCATATATTCTGGGTTTTTACCACTTACTAACATGGTTTTAATAGTGTTTTTGAGACTTTTCAAAAGTCTTTTTTTTTTTTGTCTTGTTTTTAAGTTTTTATAGGTTTATTTCGTCGATTATTCTATCTCCCTGGATAGATCGATCCAGGTTTCATGTACCAATTGCAATGCTATTTCCTTGTTGTTTTGTGAAGGAAAGAGGATCAATCCTTTGAAGACTGCCTCTGGGATGCTTGGGCATGCCTTGTTTGTGCCGACTCACATCTAGAGGTTCAAGATTTATCTTCTTCACCGTCTCAAAAATATATTAATGACAGATATTGATTACAACTTATATATACTATAATATGGAGTTCTTCTATTCAACTAAAAAGCCTTATATTAATGTCATGCGGAAAATAAAAACTGCAGCAAAAGTCACGTATTGAGAAAGTCATTGGATTTGTCCTAGCCATTTGGGGGATACTATTTTATTCTCAGCTTTTAAGCACAATGACAGAACAACTTCGGGTATAAATTCTTGAGATAGACACAAGCTACTTTTGAGAAATGAAAGTTGCAAGTTCCTTGATGGTTTTTTTTTTTAATGTGAGCAGGATAATATGCAAAAACTAAGAGAAGGTGCACAGATTCAAGTCATAGAAGCTGATCACATCATCATTTGTGGAATCAACAGTCATCTTCCTTTCATACTAAAGCAACTCAACAGTTATCATCAGCATGCTGTCCGCTTAGGTACCGCCACAGCTAGGTAAGTTTGTTCACTCTCTCTATATCTCTTCCAAGTGATATTAACTTGTCTGATTAATTTCCTTGTTACATGCTCTTACAGTAAGCAGACACTTGTGCTTATGTCTGATACTCCAAGGAATGAGATGGAAAAACTAGCTGATGAATTCAACACAGATTTTAATCATATTGACATCCTTACAAAGAGGTTAAGTGCAGTTGATCTTGTTGGCTTTCAATTTCTCTATTACAGAGCTGATTTTTATGCTTAAACAAATGCAGTTGTAATCTTAAAATGACGAAATCATTTGAGCGGGCTGCTGCCTCTATGGCCCGTGCCATTATCATACTACCAACCAAAAGTGATGGGTAAGAACATTCTTTTTAAGTCTAGATAGTAACATGTGACTGAGGAAACTATATAGAATCTATACCAATGATCTCATGCAGAGTAATCAAACAAGTTAAACATTATATTTCAGGTATCATATTGACACAGACGCATTTCTTTCTGTATTAGCCCTTCAACCTATACAAAGAATCGAATCCATCCCAACTATTGTAGAGGTAAATTAAGATACTAATTAGTTTAAGATTATATATTGTTGTTTTCTTCAGTTAATAGAGCTTGTGGAAATGAATGTAGGTGTCAAGCTCTAGTATGCATAATCTCCTCAAGTCAATTTCAGGAATGAGAGTTGAACCGGTTGAAAATGTTACCTCTAAGTTGTTTGTCCAATGTTCACGTCAAAAAGACCTCATAAAGATCTACAGACACCTACTCAATTACTCAAGTACAGTTCTGCTTTTATCTTAATGTTAAAAACAACATTGTTTTGAATTTTTTTTTTTTTGTAATCAGGATCTAATACTAATGCAAAGTCTATTGCAGAAAATGTATTTAATCTTTGTAGTTTCCCCAAACTAGCTGGGATGAAGTATAGACAAATAAGACTTGGGTTCCAGGAGGTATGAATTGACTATATCATTACATTTTAGTCTTTTAAATCAACTTCATTCTCTACATGTTATATTGTTATTTTCAGGTTGTGGTCTGTGGTCTTTTACGAGATGGGAAAGTAAATTTCCACCCGAATGATGAAGAAACGCTCAGGGAAACAGACAAAGTATTGTTCATTGCACCTCTCAGTTGGAGAAAGAAGCAACTTATATCTAAAGACATTGAAACTGACAACATATCAGTAGATGATGAGCTCGAAACTCGTAAGCAATCACGGTTAGAGAAGATTATAAAGCGTTCTAAGATGTTCTTATCAAAGGTTTGACTCTCAAAACTGCCCTTCCTACAATGCTTTTACAGGAATATAATATTTTTTGCTTTTCATTTCTATGGTTTTGGAACATAGGGATCATCAGATTCCGTCCAAGGACCAAAAGAAACTATACTTCTACTTGGTTGGCGTGAGGATGTCATAGATATGATTGAAGAGTTTGATAACTATCTTGGTCCAGGAAGTTCATTGGAAATATTATCTGATGTATCAGTAGAGGACAGAGGAAAAGTGAGTGATGGTATAGGTGCAGGGAAAATCAAGAACATACAAGTTTCCCATACGGTAAAATATTAATATTTAGCTACAGGAAACAAGAAGATAGCTTCAGAATTTATTTGATGTCATTTTGAATTCTTCTGCAGGTTGGGAATCCTATGAACTATGACACATTAAAGGAAACTATAATGCATATCCAAACTAAACACCGAAAAGGCGAAGAAGCTATTCCTCTGTCTATCCTTGTAATATCTGATAGAGAATGGCTTCTTGGAGGTAATCAAGAACATACAAATTTGATTTGATGTAATGTCTTCTTGATGCTAACAAATAATGTCATGTCCTTTTAATTAGATCCATCTAGAGCAGACACACAATCTGCGTACTCTCTTCTTCTTGCTGAAAGCATTTGCAACGAGCTTGGAGTAAATGTAATGTACTGACTTTTTTTCATCACATCCTAATGCAATATTTTCCTAATTTTTTTTTGTTTAACTAGGTACAAAATTTAGCCTCTGAAATCGTTGATTCGAAACTCGGCAAGCAGGTAATCAGTTGAAATGTTTTTACTCCTGTTACCTTCTTTTGCCGATTGAACCAATTTATCTGAAAACATAATACAAAAAACAATTGCAGATAACAAGAATCAAACCTTCTCTAACTTACATAGCAGTAGAGGAAGTGATGAGCCTTGTAACAGCTCAAGGTTTATACATTTCGTCAATTTTTTGTTTTTGAATTAACCAAAGTCTGAACAAAACTAATTTCCTTTTATATTCAGTTGCTGGAAACAGTGAACTGAACGAGGTGTGGAAGGACATTCTAAATGCAGAAGGCGATGAGATTTACATAAAGGTGAAAAACAGGTCACTTCTTCCCGCAAAACATATTGTAGTACTCTGAAAATCTCTAATGTACTTGGGACACACAGGACATTGAGCTATACATGAAAGATGGAGAGAACCCTTCGTTCACTGAGCTATCAGAGCGAGCATGGTTAAGAAGAGAAGTCGCTATAGGCTACATAAAAGGTGGTAAAAAGGTGAGTCTGCGACATAACATTAAAAAATTCTTCATCTTCACTAATTAACATTTACATAACTCAGTTTGTTTTATATAATTTGCAAGGTAATCAATCCAGCTCCAAAGACAGAACCTATCTCACTAGAAATGACAGACTCGTTGATTGTTATCTCAGAGCTTGAAGGAGACCAACCCATCACACTATGATGAAACCATTGTCTTTTATTTTATAGTTTCTTACTCACTCACAATTAGCATGCTTCAGACAAGGAGGCTTTTAATTCTTTCTTTCCCACCAAATAATATCAGTCTTTGTAATAATGTCTATAAACCTTAAGCCATAAAAGTAGATTCTTCTTCCAATCATGTTGTCATTTCTTACTAAAGCATTGGAGAGTCTCAAGGGAATATACCATTTTCAGTCTTCCAGGAGATGTATCTTATCACACCGAACGATGGAGGCCAATGAACGAGTTTCCTACACTATAGATGAGCGTACACAGCAGGTGGTCCCATGCATGTGAATAGTTGTGTTGGCTTTCCCGTGAGATACGTGACGAGATTGAGATTGAGATTGCTATATATAATAGTGACTATTAGCGTATATATAGTGATAGTGGTCCCATGTGAATAATTGTGTTGTCTTTCCCGGACTGTGGGGATAACTTTTTAGTTGAAGTTAACTAAAAGTTGGGCAACAACAACAAAAACGTGCACATATATTTATAGGGTTAATTTACCAATTTAATAGTAAATGATCTTGAAGTTAACTCCAGTATTATATTAAAATAGTAAGTTGATCATACTTTCGAAATAGGTTAATTTACCAATTTAATGGTATTATTTTGTCATCTTTAAATGACATTATACTTTTATTTTAATATAATTCTGGAGTCCTATCCTTCATTTTTTTTTAATATATTGTTTAATAAAAGTTTTACATATATATATATTTAAGGTTTTAAGATATTAGTTTAATGTTTTACGAACCTATCTAGATCCGGAAAAATCTGACTAGAATCCTATCCAAAAATTTATAATATTTGAATCGAGTAATTTTAAAATTCAAAAAATCGATACCAAAAATTGTTATGTATATTCGAATGTGTATTTGAATGTCTATTTTAACTGATTATGTACACAAAAATAATTTTTGTTAACCGGTTGGAATTCTTGTACTAATGGAACAATTTTATTCAAACATGTGAAATTTTTAGGATTAATACGTAAAATAAATAATGTCAACCGAATTAACTAAATAGTTTGAAAGAGTAAAAAAATGTAAAAGATACAATAAAGAGTTTAAAATAAGTATAACTACATTTTGACCCGCCCTTGAAAGGGCAGAAATTTTTTATGATATAAAATTATATATAATTTTTATTTTTATTTAAATAATGTTTTGGTATAAAATCAGTAATAGTTTTTGGGATGATTGTATTGCATTAATTTTTAGTTTTTGTTTTTTTTTGTTTTTGGATTTTTTTTTAGATTTGGTTTTTTTTTTAATAAATTATTTAAAAATTACCATTAAAATATATTAAAATAGAGTAGTTTTTATTTAAAATTAAAAATACATTAACAGTTTTAAACTACATGATTTAAATAAGTGCTTAATAATGAACAAATTTGTTTTTTTTTAAATATTAAACATTGTTGGGCCTGAAATTAGTTACTGAGAACACCAAACAATATAATTTGTCATAGAAATGAAAAAAAAACCCATATAACAGATACATTTTTGTTTTCCTGAAAATAAAGAAACGTGTGTACTTATCAACTACTTTTTTCAGATTAATTTTATTATGTCGGTGTAAAGTCTTAAACTGTTCTTCATTAATTGTGTAGTTTACATTAATGTCGCTACCAAAAATTTATAATATTTGAATCGAGTAATTTTAAAATTCAAAAAATCGATACCAAAAATTGTTATGTATATTCGAACGTGTATTTGAATGTCTATTTTTAACTGATTATGTACACAAAAATAATTTTTGTTAACCGGTTGGAATTCTTGTACTAATGGAACAATTTTATTCAAACATGTGAAATTTTTAGGATTAATACGTAAAATAAATAATGTCAACCGAATTAACTAAATAGTTTGAAAGAGTAAAAAATGTAAAAGATACAATAAAGAGATTAAAATAAGTATAACTAGATTTTGAGCCGCCCTTGAAAGGGCGGAAATTGTTTATGATTAAAAATTTATATATAATTTTTTTATTTAAATTATGTTTTGGTATAAAATCAGTAATAGTTTTTGGTGATGATTGTATTGCATTAATTTTTAGTTTTAGTTTTTTTTTGTTTTTGGATTTTTTTTAGATTTGGTTTTTAGTTTTTAATTTTTAAGTTTCTAATTTTGATTTTTAGCCTTTGGTTATGGTTTTTAGTTTTTAGCTCCGTTGAGTTAGTTCAAACTAATATTACCAATAAACAAATCCCAAATAATTGAATTATAATTTAAAATTGAAAAGATGATAAGTAAACTATATAATAATTTTTTAATAAATTATTTTAAAGTTACTATTAAAATATATTAAAATAGAGTAGTTTTTATTTAAAATTTAAAAATACATTAACAGTTTTAAACTACATGATTTAAATAAGTGCTTAATAATGAACAAATTTGTTTTGTTTAAAATATTAAACACTGTTGGGCCTGAAATTAGTTACTGGGCACACCAAACAATATAATTTGTCATAGAAATGAAAAAAGCCCATATAACAGACACATTTTTGTTTGTCATATAACAATATAATATCAACTACTTTTTTCAGATTAATTTTATTCTGTCGGTGTAAAGTCTTAAACTGTTCTTCATTAATTGTGTAGTTTACATTAATGTCACTTTTCTACATTAATTGTGTTGGTATACACATAGATATCTGTCGTATTTTGAATGTAGTTTACATTAGTGTCGCATTTTTACATTAATTGTGTTGGTTTAATTTCATATAAATATTTGTCGTATTTTGAAGATAGTTTACATTAAGGTCGTCATGTTACATTAATTGTGTTGGTTTAATTTAAGTAACATGGTTCAATTAATTATATGACTTATATTATTTGTAACATTCTAGAAAGGGTCCAAATTTAGATGACAACTTGTATACGGTAAATAAAAAGAATGTCTCTATTTTAATAGATTAGATAATAAATGTTGTCAAATTATTTGGAAGGAAACAATTAAGAAAGTAGCATGGAAAATATGGAAAGAAAAGACTAGTAATATGTTGAAACCAAGGGTAGCTATATTTTGTAATTTAGTTTTAATAATATAGATAGACAATAGTTATAAACTTAATAAAAATAACATAGATTTGTTTTTGTATGATAACATGTGAATTAAATTAATTTATAATAATAGTATAGTACTAATAACGTTGTGAACCTCACTCAGTTAATTAGAGAAGATGTCTGTAACATTAGGATGAGACAGAAACAGAACTACAGGTAACATCAAAAAAAATGCTGAGCTACAGAGATACAGTCTACAACTGGATAAAGATGAAGATAGGCTCAGGATCAACCACCAGATTCTGGACAGATAACTGGTGTCCATAAGACAAGCTTGAAGACTACCAACACCCTAGGAGCTCAAACTCGATGGTAATCTAGCGGACATCAATAGGAATGGGCAGTGGATGATTAGAAGTGCAAGATCAGACAGACAAGTTGAGGTACAATGTTTTCTATCTTCTATCACTCTAACTGATATTCCTGATTGCTATGAGTGGGAAGTGGACAGGCTTCTCTCTTGGAATCTTCAGGTCTCTCATGTTTGCTTGCTCACCATCAAGAGACGAGGAATCATCAGAACCCTACCATCATCAGAAACAAAATACAATCTCTGATCCGGCCGTGATCAGAACCCTACCACTTCATCTCAGATGATGCAGTTCTGGCTGGCTTCATCTCCGTGGCCATCTACTGGAACTGATTTCGATCCACGCCATCGCAAGTTTTTCTCATTCCGTCACGTTGGTAGGGAAACCCATTGACTGCTTCATGTTCTTCAATTACTAGGGAAAGGGCTTTCAATCAACTGGGCTGAACCCAATCAAAAACTCGTTTTCTCATGCTTTAAATTTGAAAAATTTAGTCAAAAAAATAAAATAAAAACATTATGATGAGATAAAAGAGTCCGGCTACGCGTTCGAGAGTCAATGGTTCATCGAAGTTGCTTGAGCAAAAGTCAAAATAAAAACGATTTCGGATCCCTTCTCTGGATAATTGCTTGACTAAAATATTTATTTTTTCCTAACAAGAAGTTTATATGTAATTCGTTTTTTTTGTTTATATATAAATGGTCATCTGTGTTTCAAAAAAAAAGTGTTTCAAAAATATATAAATGGTACATAAACATTGCATTTGTGAGATGATGATCTGAATAACTTCTGGTTCTTGGGCCACGAATGGGCTACAGAAGTGGTATTGGGCCTTTAGTCTTTAATGAAGCCCAAACGGATGAGTTGCCTACGGTGGGGTGCGTCGCAGATGAGTAAACTGGTTGTTATAACAACCATATCTTATCTTCTTCTTTACGTGTGAGATATACGCAGAGATAGCAAGAGTTGCTTTTTGTGATCACTATTGTTAGTTTGTAACAAAGCTTCTGTAACTGTGATCTAGTGGATTACCAGGTACCGACCTGAAGGAGACGTACCTCGTCACATTGACAGGGAACTCTAAAACTTCGTGTGTGTACTTTCTTTAGCTCTACGTTTTCTTTCTTCGGTGTCAATCATTCGAGCTCTCGGAGTCGCGAACCGAGCACACGAGTGTAAACCTGAGAGAGAGAGAGTTAATCAGTGAGATACGAAGGAACGATTCTTCTACAATTGGTATCAGAGCCTCGTTGGAGGCAAAAGAAGCGGAGGATCGAGGTCTGAGTTCATCGTCGAGAGATAGATCAACAGGATCTCACCGGTGAGGCGAGGGATCATCTACAAAGACTCGAAACAGCTACATCAGGCTAATTCTGAATCTATCTCATATACTATCTCTTATTAATAGATTTGGTACTGCAGAAGTGTTGGATCATTGATTGCAGGTAACAGGTTGTTGCAACGTAATCATTGAGATGGATCCGACGAAAGGCAAGTTTGAGATAGAGAAGTTTGATGGAAAGGGAGATTTTGGTCTTTGGAAGTTCAAGATGATGGCGCAACTTGAGATACAGGGACTCTTGTCAGTACTCAAGGAAGAAGATACATCAGACGTGGATGCTGAGAAACTTGAAGAAGGAACTGTAGTGAAAGAGAAGGTCAAGAAAGCTGATAAAGATCTGCGAGTTCGAAGTCTGCTAAGTATATGTCTAAGCGATGTTATACTCAGGAAGATAATGAATGAAACA